GTGACAGGCTCGAGTGAAAAGCTCATCAGTCTTGAAACTAAAGTTTCTTTAGACGCAGCAGTCAAGACGTGCGACGGGCTTATTTGTGGACAGCTGACTAGAAACCTCAAAGCGGTCCTGTTTCCCGGCTCTGTCACTGATGCTTCATGCAACAGGAGACACTGCGGCACCCACGGCCCGGTCCCTCGTCCAAATACTTTGACCTGTGGGAGAACAGGAGACGTCCAGAACAGGAACTGACAGGAAGCAGAACGGCTACAAATAAAACCATTTCATTAGTTTTAATCTCATGCGTGAGTCCAACACGGACACAGTTCTTTGTTTCTGAAAAAGTAATCTGGAAGAAGATTAAACGGGTAACTGAACTCAACTATACTCTTATCATTTTGGGATTCGTTACCATTTTTTAATAAACCTTCATTTAGGTTTGATGTGAACGTGTCTCTGTGTGTGCACCAAGTATTTATTTAGCTTTACAAAATAAAGTTGCTTAAGAGTTTAATTAATTAATCTGGTTAAAGTCAGTGATCTCCTGGTTTTTACAACAAAAATGTTTCTTTGTTTCTCTGATCTTGTCAATAAGCACAGAAAAAAAAACTGAGTTGCATTAAACCATAACTGAGGTTTAACAGTCAAAGCCAAGAGTTTAATATGTCTTCAATCATATAACACACACATGCAGAGGTTAGACAGCGACTGCATCACCACAACGCTCACGATCCATTATTGCCTTTAATCTGAAAGCAGCTCCTTCAAGTCAAACACTGATGCACAACACGCAACACAACCAGAAGATGCTACAGCACAGAAACAGAGATAATCAATAATGGACAGCACAGGGACTGAGAGACGGAGACGCTGCTCTCTGATTGCAAACATATCTCAGACACATAACAGCTGACGTCTCTCTCATCAACTGGAAACAAGAAAAGTCTCACGTGTTTTAAATGATTTTAGCCTTTCATGGTACTTCCAGTAAATCAGAAAGCTTTACCGACATGTGGAGAGCCTGAGCTGTGCTGGTTTAAACTGGGAAGTCAGCTGACATCGAGAATCCGAAAGGTGGAGTAGATGGTGAGAAGCTGAGGGACAAGATGACTCACAGAGGGAAAAAAGCCCAAGAAAGAAATCCACAATTCCCATCACAAGGAATACCAGGAAGACTGATCTTCAGATGAAAGACCCAATAGAATAAGTATGAAGAGGCGCGTTTTGACAGTTGATGTCATTGAATATTAGGGCTGCCACAAACGATTATTTTGATAGTCGACTAGTCACAGATTATTTTTGCGATTAGTCAACTAATCAGATCATCATCCATTGGA